CTAGCCATTAAAAAAGATAACTGCAGAAAGGGTTCTTGTATAGTTTACCACACAACAGTGGTCCATCACATACTGAGGTGAGATTTAATTCAGTGGCAGCAAACAGGCATCCACGAATTGCTTTTCCTTGCAGTCGAAACAGAAATGCTATTTGTTCTGGTTACAATGCAGCTGTTTATATTCACGTTGGAGGTGAATTTTGAAGCTGACACATAGGAAATATCAAAGTGAACACAATGCAGGGATGTATGCTCTGGGTGCACTTTGAAGTGAGATCTCCCATCAATTGGCATCTGAAGTACTCTCCAATTCAGAGGTAAGGAATCCAAAGTCAGACTCGTGTGTTATCCAAATCTCCTGCCATTTTCCTCGAGGTGAAAGAAGGGCAGCCTTTCAGCTGGTAATTTAATTTTACTTGGCATAGGTACTAATGCTGGGCACCACGTTGCAGGTAAATTGAAACACAGGGAGATTCCCATTGGGTTCAGGTCATCGAGATGTGAATTGAATATGATCAAAATCACTGATGTAGGATACACTTCTGTGCTATTTGTATTGGAATCCACAGCCACGTCGCTGGTAACCCTCTGGGTACCAGTCCAGGGTCAGTGGCGTTTACATTGCAGAAGACCTCTGCCTTTTTAAACTTAATTATGCATGTGGTGAGAGTTGACAACACTGGTGTCCCTTTTTATCTGGAAACATGAGAGGAGGTCAAAGGCTGCCTCTGAAACAAGACCAGACACTAGTTTACAGTGCACAGACTTTGCAATATGAAACCTCCAATCAAAGGAATGAGATTGCATTGGAGTGGTGGGGTGGAGGGGGGGGGAGTGTGGAGAAGACATGTACTTGAGTTGGTTGGTATTTGAGTTATCAGAGCTCTTTCAAGGAAGCATATTAAATGGCTCTCTCGCAATAATTCCTCTGCATGCAGTTGGATTCGATGCTTATTGTTCAGGAGAAATCACAGTGTACTTGAGTGGTTCAGTTCCCTGTAATCCCCCTGGGATGTCTTTTTGTCCAATTTTGCAGTTATGTTTTTCAGTCTGGTTCATCCCACCTTGGGATTCTGCAGATACATATATTTTTTGGGGGTGGAATCTGCAGTCAGGAGCCCCCCCTGTGAGTGGAGCTCTGTGCGGAGTGAGGTACAAGTTGCAACACTTTGGCATTCACCTGACGCTCCACATTGGGACATTTATTTCGCTGACATTCAACCCGTCCTCAGGAGAGGGGAGATTTTGCTCCTACAGTGGGCAAATTTCCCGAGTCTATACTCGGTCGCAATTAAAGCAATGCAACTGCTAATTCGTTCGAAACGCAAACTAGCAGCTCCCCTGCGAAGGGGGCACAGACTTAGCGAATGATGGCTCTTTCCTGATAGCATTGATCTCCTAACTTTGCACCCGCTGTTTGTTGGGCAAACAGTGCCCCTTTTGCACATCCCCAAGGTCTGCGTGTGGAGCCACCCATCAGCTGAACTTTTAGCAGGAGTTTGCTCTCCGTTTCTTACGTTTCAAACCCGCAACAGGAATGACTTTTGGACGGTGTTGGAAATTTCTCACACGATTACACATCTCGCTATAACGTTGCCGCTAAAAAAGAAAGAAAGAAAAGCAAACAGTTACAGGGGGGGGGGGGGGAATCGCCTGACTTGTTGCAGTTGCTTGGAGATACTTTTAAACAATTAAACCTGACTGAGAACAGCGCTGGAGAACTTCCCTGATGTATTTATTCTATACACGTCCCTCTGTGCCAAGGCAGCGCAAGTCGACTTGCAAGAAGCCTGTGAATCAGACTAATACTCTTTATTACATGCACTAATCCTCCCAAATCCGACTTGAAATAATGTTTATCTTTTGCCAGCTTAATTTTCCAGCCGGAAAGCTGTGGGTCAGTCACATTGTGGATAATGTGCCATTTATTTCAGCAGCCTGTTGTAAATAAATGATGCTTTGCCCTTTTTGAGGAGGCTGCAGAAAGCAGCAAAGTTTGCCCAAATGGCAACATTCCTTACTATATAATATTACCAAACGCTGCAATAAACGAATACTCTCCCTCCTTTAAACCTCAGACCAAACGTGTCTGCGCGGTTGCAGTTCGCGAGGTATGGTTTGAGGTTACTTCTCCTCATCAGAGAAAAAAAATGCATTTCTCGTCACTGGGAAGAAAAATGTTTTGAAAAAATTAAAAGTTATTCTGAAGATTCCATGTGGGTCTTATTGCTGGGAACAAAATTCAACGTAATGATGCCACACGGCTCTGGAGCTTACCCTAATCTTTCAAATCTTCCTAACAAAATCTCTCTTTCACTTAGGGTGGGTTTTTTTTTCTTTGCTCTACATATTGCGTTCACATTGATCTTAAAGCAAAACTGGCAAATTAATAGCTGGTTGCGCCCCGTCGTCAAGTCATCAAAACACTGCAAATTCCAATTTTGTTGTGGAAGTTTTTAAAATAGTCTGTGTGATGGGGAAGGAATTTTTTAAAAAAAAAACTCTTCCCATTCTCACACGGTTACAAAAGTACTATTTCAGCATCACCTACATAAATAGTGTGTAAAGTATTTTAACTTAGTTCAGTTTGGAATTGCTCACAATGTGGACACACGCACTGTGTTTAAGATGACATTGTTGTTGTGGGGGGAAATGAAGGAAGGAAGGCAGTTTGTGTAATGACAGTTTCCTCGCCGCAAGTTAAGCCTTTTTTTATATATATTGCGAACACGCCAGAGTTGGAATCCTTGCTTTTGCTGCAAAAAAACGGGATCTGATTAAACCTGCTCCCTGTAGCTCCTAGAATATATGCACTTGCTTTTTGCAGATTGGCGCAAGTTAAGGTTGGAGAAGGGGATATAAGCAAAAAAAAAGAGGCTAAGACAAAAACGCAGCATCTTTATTGCTTTATTGCTCGCTTCGTGGACGTAGCATTCCCATCTGGGTCAGCAGATTGCTACATTTAATTAATTGTATAAACCTGCAAATTGAAATATAGGAATTAAAAGGGAAGGTTGCTAAACCTCTAAAAGCAATGTACTATAATGCAGTAAAACTCTACATTATTGATTTGGAACATCCTCCAGTGATTTAGAAACCCCGACTTAATTTTGGTTAATACGTGTGTTTCAATCCTGCGACTAAAACGCTGCTCTTTACAGCAATTTATAGATCTTTCGCACAAGTGGCAACAGACGTCAGCGAGGACTCTGTGCGGTGTGGTTTAATGTGTTATTGAACTGATTGCACCACGTTCCGCTCCCCCTTCGCCATCAAAAGTGACACTCAGGTGCTTCATTTATGTCGAAGGGTCAACTTGTTTTGTGATTTTTGCTGAGATTATTTTGGTCATCACACCCCAATATCCGACTCCAACATCTCAGCTTTAGAGTTTCCCCTTTTTGATATTAGTATATATATAGTGTGTTTATATAGTGTATATATATAGTGTATGTATATATAGTGTGTATATATGGTGTGTATATATAGTGTGTATATATACATACTATTTTATGATATATAAACTATGATATATATTATACAATATATATGGTGTGTGTATATATCTCAAAACTCGAAAGCCAGGCTGCTGCTGCGAATCTCACCCAATCCACACAAAACCTCACGGCACACACTTAAACCACTACACCATTGCTACTTTCTTTTACGCACAGGAACAAAGGGAGTCGCTTCTCCGACTCTTATCTCCGCCTCTTTTATTCTAATGAACACCATCCGAGCGGGAGTGTCAACCCTCATCAATGGCAAACAATGGGGGGAAAAAAACCTTGTCGCTTCGGTTCTCTTGTTTTATAAAGTGTGCAATAACGTTCCCTCGACTGAGCTGTAACCTGCCAGGAGCAAAATGCCCTGCGTTTTGCCAATTAAGGAGCAAATAATCGTAACGTTTTCTGGGAAACTTCTTGAATTGATTACTCTTTAAGTTGAACCCGTCTACTTCCAGAGGCGTCCGCTGCTTCGTTTAAAAAAAAATGTTGGGATGATCGTTGTTGCAACTCGGGCAAACTTGTTTGCAAAATCCTTTGAAAGCGGTGCTCGGTTTTTATTGAGACCGGAGATTCGAGTGGAAAGGTTTTTTGTTTTCTTTCCCCGGACTCACTCCTCTCATCGCGAATGAATTCGCGAGGATTGCCAAATAACAGACATCTCCAGCTGCTCTCCAAACGGAAAAAAAAGGTTTTAATGTTGACCTCTGAAAACATTGCATTACACGAACAAAATAGCTGTGCAACGTTTTCCAGCAGTCGGTGTGATTTCATTTAATTACATAATAAAACATTACCTCCAATATGTTTAAATAGACCGCCATGACTTTGCAGTTTGCACAACCATCAACATATACACGGGTTTGACAAATGTACTTTATTCACATTTCACAGAGCACAAAAGGAACAAAAAAAAAAGTGGGTGTTTTTGTTTATATCCTTTTTTTAAAAAAAACTCAACTGTAAATTTTTAAGAAACGGGTTAAATATAAGAATCTCTCAATGTGAAACACAGACACACATCGAATGCGACCCCCCCCCCCACGCCCCCCCCCCCCCCACCAAAAAAAAAGTAAAATGTAACAAGACCTCGCGTTTTAAACAACGTGTTTCACTTTAAACATAGTCAAATTAAAAACATACAAGGGAAGAAAATAATGTCCATTTGTGCGGCAAACATTTCCAGTGCTTTAATAATTAGAAGGTATATAGCATATTAGTTTCCCACAGTCTCTCTACTGATTCGGATACATGATTTTTTTTCTCCCCTTCTTGAGCAGATCAAAACGAGTTCGTGCATGACATAATATGGTCGGAAGCAACGTTTTCTGAGTTGGAGCAGATTCCTTGACCGCTGTGTTTTTCTTTTTTTGTGTGTGTGTGTGTGTATATATATAATATATATATATATATTTTAAAAAAAGAAAAATGAACCACGTCAGATTTCAATGCGAGTGCTGGGAAGTATCTGAGTCCTGTTTCATTTTTTTCTCTCTCTCTCTCTCTCTCTCTCCAGTGTATTGTCAGATCATTAGTGCATAAAATAAAGGAGTTGTGCAGGTTCGCCTGGGCTTACGGTGTGGCACAGCGTTAAACAAACCTGGGGGATGAAAAAAAGAGAGAACGACACACAATTAGAGGTGCGCTTCACCAAATGCCCAGCCTTCTTGCTGCCTCTTATGCCATCTGTGCTTAAACTGATACCAGTACATTACCAACTACTCGTAATCTACCAGTACATAATACTGTATGCAGTATATAATAGTGTGCAACTAACTGGTAGACACACCAACCAATTTTTTTTCAGATGCCAAATAAGGAAAGAGAGAAGCAAAAAAAAAAAATGCATTGGGAACAAAGGCCAAAAGTTATTTGCCAGAATAACAACAACAACAACAACAACAAAAAAAACAACCACTGATTTGCAGGATGTGTTTGGAAGAACTTCAGCCAATAACGTGAAGCTCTTTTCAAACTCCATTGCAGCCATAATGCGGGCGGGCCTACCTTTGTCTGCAATGGGAAGGATTGAAATGTATTACAGGCGATGCAATTATTGTTGGGAGGGTTGAATCGGACAGTATTTGGCCCGAAACCCAGGTTTCTATAAACCCCCCCCCCCCCCCGTCAAACTGAATTGTGAGAAGGGAATCAGGTCACCTACCTCACCTCTTCAGCACAGGTCTGAAGGCCGTTCGCACTTTCTCTTGCTGATGTAAAAGACACGCCTCACTAATATCTGCTGATCCCAGATCAGATTTCACATTTCTCAAAAATCCTGGAAAATACAATCCGGTTTGCACTGTGTTTACGCCCCGCAGTTGAGGTACTCAGGAATATGCAGAACCCCTTTAATAAAGTGCCTTGTAAAATGACTTGACTTGCTTTCTCTCCCCTCTCCCCCCACACCCACCTCCTCCCCCACCCTGTCTCAATCCACCCTTTCCCCATCACCCAGCAAAGGTAGATGTTTTTTTTTTTTTTGGGGGGGGGGGGGGGACTTTGTTTTAATTCTAACGCAACACCCACCAGACGAAATACAATTCGGAAAGTTTTGAAAGAATGGCACCTTTGAAAGCGTCGTATCAGTGCAGTGCGATTTCAAAAGGACTCAACCACCGTTCCTAATCTATATCACGTTTGCCCTATAACCACCGGGAGTGTCTGACTTTAGTTATTGCCAGAAAATAAAGCATCATTTGTCAGAAAAGAGCGCTGAGTTTGGTGACAATGTGGCTTTTCAAGCTGCGGTCGCTTTTGGGATCGTGAACATTTCAAGTTGTGTTGCTGGAGAGAGTGAGTGAGAGAGTGATGTGAGTGAGAGAGTGAGAGAGAGAGAGAGTGATGTGAGTTGAGTGAGTGATGTGAAGACTCAGATACCTTCAGACCCTGTCGTGAACTGGCAGTTGTCCAGCACGGGGTAGGAAGCGCAGTGCAGTTGACCCGTGGCCACAAGCGTTTGCAAGTTGAAAGCAGAAGTTCTCAGGATCTGAGCTGCTTGCGAAGAGTCTCCAAGAGCAATCCCATCGTCTGCCTGGTGGCTCCCCGAGCCATGGGCCGGCCTGGCGTCCGAGCAGTATCTCCCTGTCCGGGGCTGGTCCAGCTGAGAAGCCACCAAGGCGTGAGAAGCCGCCGTGTGCGCCAGAGACCAAATCCTTGGCTTCTCTGCCGTCTCAAAGCGCTGGGGCAGGCTGGGGGGGGCTGTCACAGAAACAGTTGGCTTGTTTGCAATAGTCTCCAGGAACTCGGATTCCAGGGTGGAAGTGTTCCTCGAGCAGAAGGTGTGATGGTCGCTCGGAGGCGACACGTTGCAGTCAGTTTTCTCAGTCTCCACCAGCCCTCTCCTCAGACCCAGGCCGGTTGGTGGCTTGTCCTGGTCGCTCTCAAGTTTCTCCTCCGGCTCATCGTCTTCCAAATCGTCCAGGTCGCTCAGCCTCAACTCCTTCTCCTCCCTGCATTCCTTTGGATCTGTTGTGAAACATTGCAGAACATCCGCCACGTCAGTTAACACACACCTGTGCAGGCAATGGCTGCACAGGTGAGCTCGATAAGTTTACCTGGTTTCAATAAGATGCTCAAAANCAACTCCACCAACTCCCACCCCCCACCCCACCCCTCCCCCGCAATACAATACATACCCTTGAACCGCGGTCATAGCTGGAGACTTTGCGGTCTTCGGGTTAACACGACTGCAACGCGCACAGGATACGTACTTTTGTTCAGATTAGCATTCAAATTATCATCACTCTACTCTGCATTAGGTGTCTGAAACTCTTCTGCATGTGTCCCCGTGTTGCCCTGACCGCTGCGCTTGTTTCAGTGAAATCCACTGGCATCGCGTTCGGGAATTTACCAAGTTGGGAGTTTGGCAAAGTCCAAGTAGTTTCACTGCATTTCCTATTCGTTGGCAAACATTTTTTTTTACACACAGGTAGTTAGTCAGCTCGCAAAATCTCACCGTTATCTGTGTCGTATTCCTCTTCATCCCTCTTCTCGCCCTCCTCCTTTTTCTCGTCTCCCCCTTTGTTTCTGGGTGACCAGGTCATTTTGTTCTCCTTCTTCAACCTCCTCCTGGCGTTGGCGAACCAGGTGGACACTTGAGTCAGAGTCATTTTGGTGATGATGGCCAACATGATTTTCTCGCCTTTGGTGGGGTAGGGGTTCTTCCTGTGCTCGTACAACCAAGTCTTCAGAGTGCTTGTGGTTTCTCGAGTCGCATTTTTTCGTCGAGTCGAGCCATTGAAGTCCATGGTACCGTACCTGAGACACGAATAAAATCAACCCCCAACCCCCCCACCCCAGATCAGCACTTTTATTTATTTTTAAAAAAAAACACACACACGCACACAAGTGCACAGGCATTTCACAGACAGTAGATGGCAAAACAGCGATCAATAAAAATACATTTTATCTCCAGATTTTTTTTAGATATAAAAGAGGGAAGTAGCTTTCTTCAAGCAACTTTTTGATGTTGGCTGTGATTGATATTATCTGCCAAGATCAAAGGGCTTCTTACCTGTCGTACTGATACTGCCCCAAGGAATGATCGTATGGATAGTAGGCAGCTGGTTGAGCTATTCCCGAGTGCAAACTCCCAGTGCCATCTTTAATTTCATACTGGGAATTCTGCAGGGGGGGAGGAGGAGGAGGGAGGGATGGAGAGAGAGAGAGAGAGAGAGAAAGAGAATGCACAAAATAGTTAAAAGTTTTACCGCAGTTGATAACGTGGGCGGCTTTGGCAGATGGGATATGACTGTCTTACAAGAAGGAAGGAAAGCGTCCTTTTGTTCCCATGGCTGTCTGTCTACTCACCAGTGAGGAGTAGAGAGCAGAGGGGTCTGTGCTGTATGTAAGGTAGTTCCCATAGCTCTGGCTGGCTGCAGTTGCATAGGGAGAGCTGTACATGCCCAGAGCCGCAGCAGCTGCGTTGATCTCAGTCCTGGCGTTGGCCAGCAGTCTGTTATCATAGGAAGGACAGCAAATGGCAGCCTGGGCCGCCCCTGTAGAGCCTTCAGATCCAGTTCTGGAGCCGGATTCGCAACACGTCGAGCTGGGACTTGCTGACACGAAAAACTGAACAGAGAAAGAAAGCGAGAAAGAGAGAGAGGGAGAGATGGAAAGAGAGTAAGAGAGAGAGAGAGGGAGAAGCAACCGTCAATCCACAGGAACACGATCAGCAAATTAAACATGTGAAGATTTGGAAATGACAGGGTAGGATGCGGCAGTCGAGATGCCTTCAAGACAACTCCATTCAAGATAAACGGTAGAAAAATAAGCACCAAGTGGAATTTCAACCGGCTGAAGATATAGGGAGAGCAGAGTGATAGTTCACTTTGCATTTTGAGACGTTACGCTTTGCATGTGTGCAAATAAAAGCTGCACGTATACATTATTGAAAGGAATGCGATAATTTACTGAACCCAATAAACAGGGATGTCTTCAGATCCATGCTTATAGAAAAGGACTAAACGCATTCCAAAAGTAAAAGCACTCTTCGAAAAGTACACCGAAAAGAATGAGAATTAGGGAACAAATATTGTACTATATCCAAATAGGCAAATAAATAATAAAATAGCATCAATAATACAGGAGCGTTGGAGTTGGGGGAATCGAACCGATTGCAGGAAACGGGGTGCTAAGCAGTGAACGAGGTAAATAATAACATAGTAAATCTAATAAACCCACAACACCGAATAACTGCAGAGCAGGAAGGAAACGGTGTAATCGATACTATGCAAATAAAACGAGCAAGGCTAACGCCTGGCGAAACCACAGCAAATTCCGTGGCGAGTGTACAAAACCGGGTAACTCACTGTGGGTGCAGCACAGAAGTCAATTAATAAGTTCTAATAAATATTAACAGGCTGAATGAAGCACGCCTGCAGAATAACGTGCAAGTCGCGCAAAAAAACACACAACATTTGCACGTTTTCAGTAAGACCGAGAGGAAATAAGTTACTGGAGCGTGCAAAATAAGACCTCATCGAAGGGAACTGGGGAAACTATTACTTTGCTGTAAGCGTAAAGAAATGGGTAACAGCAGTGGCACTTAAACGGTTTGGAAGAATGACAGTGTGAACGGAAAGTCCAGGTTAGAGGAGCGCTAATCGCTAATCGCTGCTCATCCCTTACCTGTGAAGTCGCGTTGTATGGGTATCCGAACTGAGGGAAGGACATCGCTGCTCCTTTTGTTACCATAGGCAATATTTCTCTCTGATCGATGGTTACCAAACCAACTTCAAGCTGTACCTTCTACCCCAGAAATTTCCACGCATGGCCTTTGCTTCAATAATAGATGATTTCGCTGTTAAAGCTTTAAGCAACCCGAACGGGCCAAGTTCAAAGCTTATCTCGAGGTGCACATCTCGAGGCAAAAAAAAATATATCGATTACATTTAGCCGAAGAGGGTTAAAAAGACATAACGGAAGTCTTGCAAGATATAGAGTCTGCCAGTTGTATTATTTGCTGCTCTCTATAGTTCTTTAGCAATTCATCCATGGAAGTGTATCAAAGTGACGTCACGGTAATCCCGAATCGACATGACAGAAAGGATATAATAATGTCTTTGCCAATCATATTTAACATCTAATATTCTTAGATGCACTCAACACTTGTTTTCAGATGTTCTCTGGTCGCTTCTTGATGTGCGTCGACCGCTCGTCGAGTGCTTGGGACCTTGTGTTTGTTGTCATTCCTTACAACAACGTTGCACACACACACACACACACACAAATATATATATATATATATATATATGCACCAGAAATTTTAAAGGTCACCCCCAACAACATAATGTTTTAGGTGAACTGAAAAGGTTGTCGCAGCGTTCAAACGTTGTAGTTTTTTTTATTAGTAGTATTATTATTACTATCTCAGAGCACGTGTTACAACGCCTTAATTGCCACAACTCAACGTGGAGGATATATTATCTGGACATAATTAACTTTAATCCATTTAAATTACAATGGGATCACTTAAAATCTTCCCCCCCCCCACCACCCCTCCCCAACACCCCGCATCTTAAAGTGGAGTTGCCACTTGTTTGGATCTATTATGTTCGGTGGCGTTGCATCTTTTAGCAGCTTGTGTCTTGACCTCTTATTATTGTTAATGCAATCAAATTCCTAATAGGATCAATGTCTCTCTTTTTTTTCAAGAAAGCAATTTTTTCTTCCCTAAAAATCGCCATGATCTTAATGACGAATACTTTGAAGTGGGGGTGGTGGTGGTGGTGGTGGGGGGGGGGCTGGTAAATGCAATAGTTCAAACCTTACGTGCGCCTTGGGTCAATATTCCACTGCAAAACAAATCTGGGCCACACAACTGTTATTTGTGTGCGTGTGCGTGTGTGTGTGTGTGCGAGTTCCTAATTATGACCACTTTCTCATTAACAGTCTTATTTCGCATCCGATCACGTCTCCTTGTGGTTCTTCCTCAGTGAACCCAAAACAAACTTCTCTCAGCGCGTCAAACAAAATGAAAATCAAAAAAAAAAGTGTTGGGGGTGTGTGTGGGTGTGTGGGTGTGTGTGTGTGTGTGTGGGGGGGGGGGGGGGTGTGGGTGCAGAAACGCAATAAATTAAAGTGCAGGCTGACACAGAACAGGCGAGGGAGGTGCAGAGCACCCAAGAGAGACTTTGTTTAACCTCTCCAACTGACTACAGTTAATAATCAGAGATGGAAGCAGAGCCTCTGGGTGTCCTCCCTCTCTCTTTCTCTCTCTCTCTCTCTCTCTCCAAAACCGTCCGATCCATGGCCAAAGGGCCAGTCACTAATTAATGATGATGATGTATCCATTTTTCTCTATTAGAGCCAGAACTGGTCCCCAAAGAAATGAATGTATGGCTTTGACAGGTCAATGGTGGGTGATTGATGGCTGCCTTGAGACCGACGTGCCATTACGAGCGATGCGTAATTGCATCAATTAACAAATGGAAATTGGGACTTGTTTAACCAACGACTTACACCGAAAAGAATTTGCCTCTGAGCTGAGATCCACCGGACAAAGTTTCCGCTCATCACTGGGAGCGAACTGTTCGGGTCCAATTATATAAAAAAAAACTGGTCACAGTTTTGGGGGGAAATATGTTCCCAATAACGAGAGCGTCGCAGGATTTTCACTTGAGGTGTAAGTTCGTTCGCCTTTCGAACAGCTTCAAACTTTTAACACAGACTGTGAATCCTCTAAACGTGTCTGTGTCTCTCTCTCTGTGTCTATATATATATACGTGTGTGTGTGTATCAGTGATGTCTTTTGAACGCTACTTTTTTAAAATAAATTATCAAATTTATAAATCACAACTGGGTACCTTTTTCCGACTCAGCAACGATTGCAACATCTTTAGGTTCATTTGAATTCCTTCCCAGCCCCCAGTTGTCTCATTCCACGATTTGTGTACAGAGGTCCTGGGGCTCCAAAGAGAGAGAGAGAGAGGAAATATTTGGTCTCTCTCTGCAAAATCCCAATGCAGGGAAGAAAGGGTTAAAGCCCCCCAACTCTTCCCCATCCCTTTTTTTTTAAACTTGCCTTCGCTGTTTAATAAATATCTCCGCCTTCATCGGCTTATCCCTCTTTTCATCTGGATATTTATTCCTCGCGCTTTCTCCCGTTTACTCATCTATAATGAATACCTTGTGTTTTCGTTTTGATTTCCCATCGACTGAAGCGCCGCCGCACTGTGTGCAGCAAAACCCAAATAAATGGCAACGCATCATTCATTCGGGTGCGATTTATTTCGGAAGCAGAGATGAAAGGGCAGGAAAAAAAAAGGGGCTCTCGACATTTGGGCGTTTGTGTACGTTTTAATATACATACACACATATATATATATATATATGCATATATATATTTGTAATATAAACAGATATATTGCACGTGTTGACTTGTTACAAGTATCTGAGGCGGGTCAGGGTAGTTAGATGGCTGTTGTTCTCACTCTCTCTCTCTCTCTCTTGGAGATGTACCTTTTTTTTGGCCAAATGTCACCAATAAAGGTTTAACCCCCCCCCCCCCCCCCAACTCAACGACTCACTGTAGTTACCAGCTCCTTCTGACAGGGGCGCCAGAGAGCTGCTGCTGCACAACAATAGAGCCCCAAAATCAGATCAGATCAAAGAGCAGAAGGTGTAACTACACCATTGGTCTTTCAAAGGACTGCAAAGTGGATCAATGTCGAATTGTTTGTTTTGGAAATGATCTGAGATAATGCGACAGTCCTTTGCAATGCCTTTCACACCGAGGCGTAAAAATATTTACTGGTAGAGACTCTTACCTAAGAAAGAAAATTGTGCTCCAGTGAACAATGAAGAGTGGATTAAAATTATGTAAAGATTGCGTTAGCGGTGCGAATACTTTAGTCATACAACTGTTTGCAAATTCTTGTGGGCCATTTAGTTCAAAATCCAAATAGGCGTTTCTCAGTTGTATCCATAAGATTAGTCAACATGTAAGACAAAAGGAGCTTTGTTTGATAAAATGTTATGGATTCTCTGAAGACCTGCCATGTAGGCAGTACATCAGTTTCCCTTCTCATGTAGAAGTAACTATAATAGTAGTTTTTTTTCCTGCTTCACAACCATGATCACGCCTCTTTACCTAGTCCCCATGGAGGTTTCCACTCATCTCAAACAGAGCAACTATTCAGCTCACATAAACTAACACTAAAAGTACACCAGGAAAGAACGAAGGAAAACAAAAGGAGGGGCTGTCAAAGTCTTCACTTTGGAGGTCTTTTCCTGTTTTCATAATAAAGTGGGAACTTCAGATCCTTGCTTCCTATTGAGTGTAAAGACCACACATACTCTGCATATACTGTGTGAGGTTACAATCAGATGAGCTCGTGTTCAGGATAACCAGTGTTTACTTCCCTCAATGTTTGCTTTGGGACAATTATTGACAGAATGAATGATTCAATGGACACATCTAGCAGACTTCAAATAACTCCCTTTTGCAACAGGGAAAAAAGTACTATCGTAGTTTGCACAGTCAAATGGTAGAGTACAGTTCTATTCTGAATGTTTTTTGTATAGGGTGTTGATCAATTCCATCTGGAATATTATGCGTAGTTGTGATTATTTAGTTTTGGTTTATCTGGTTTTGTCCACAAAATATACAATCAATTCACTTTACTGTACATTCTGTGAACAACAACAACAAGATTCCATTTATTGAGCGCCTTTCACGTCAGAAGGACGTCCCAAGGCGCTGTACAGTTAGGTCAGGACCCGAGCAAGGGGGAAATGGTCAGGGTGAGGGGAGGGAAGGGAGGGAGCGAGGAGGGGGTAGAGAGTCAAGAGCACTTTGAGATGTCTCAACAACATCATAAGGCGCTATATCAAATGCAAGGATTATTATTATTTAATCTTAGGGGAAGAGTTTAACATAATGATTTCATACATTAGAGATGCAAGTTTAAAATGAGGACGTTATTCTACAGATGGATCTTTTCTTACCCAGAGGATAATAGATGTGTGGAAGGTCTCTGAATGGGTTCTAAAGCTAACTAGATCTTTACCTGGAAAGAGAGAGGATTGAGGTACACAATGAGAAGGTAAATAGCTGGAAACTATTGAAAAGGGATGGGCTTGTTTGATTTTTCTCTTCCAAACACTCTATGTTCTTAGTATTAGATTTGATGGAACCTGCTGCTTTGGGACATTATTTAAACGCTTCTCAACATGGAAGGGCAGGGGTGGGGAAAGACTTGGATTGTGTAGGCATTTTTTAGTTTAGTAAATTATTGGCATTCTGTGTACATTACCTGAAGGTGTTGTCTGTGTTAATGTCACTCAGTGATGCTGCTGTATGTCTTGAAAATCATGCATGAATGCACAAGCACAGTTGGACATAGCATACATAATTTATGTTGACTGTACAATAGATGGATGTGAATAAAAAATGTTTATTAATAAAAATACTAACTCTGGTGAGAGCTTCATGGCAAACTTCTTTTGTTTTTGAATTGTTAGCACACTTCTGTGCACCAACTAAATGACTTTAAAGGACTTCACCAATGATTTCTTATTTCTTCAGAATATCTTAGATATCTGTAGCAAGGCAATAGCTCTACTTGCAAAGTATGATTTTCCTCACTGTTGGATTGGGATGAGATTAACAAATGTGAATTATTCTGCCCTATTAGCAACTTTAATTTCAAAATTGTGCAAGGTCTTAAGAACCTGCTTTATTATTTGAAGAC